TCATGCTTGTTAAAACAGATTGCTGGGTCCCACGGAGTTGTTGACTCAGTTCCGGGGTGGGGCTGAGAATTTGTAGTTCTATCTGATTCCTAGGGACATTGATGATACTGCGGAGGCAACCACACACTCCTAGAAGTACTGTTTATTTAGATCATAAGGACTTTGTAAGAACTTGGGTTAAGAAAGTTAGGAAGATTTTTGAGAGCAAGACAAATAAATAGCTGTGCTGGTTAGAATGAAAACACAAACCACCAAGACAGAAACTTCCTCAGTCTACAACTTATTTATTCTTCTACCCTTGCAAGAATCAAATCCATATAATAAGAAACATTATTCCTCTGAAGAATTTTTCTATGGAACATTTATCCGTTGTAGTATCTTTTTTTTAGATATTTCCATTCTGAGTCTTTTTTCTTAGCAGAATTTTCTAGATAGGAGGCTTTGATTAAAGATTTTTAATCTTTGTCTTCCTTCCTCTTGTTTTCAAATATTTCAGTCAAATATGCCTGTTTTTTGATTCCTTGTTCATCTTTCACAACCTCCTTACAAAGGATATTAGAAGATGAGGATTTAAAATTGTTCTGTACAACATTAAACACACATGCCCACTTCTGTGCACAAGCATGTAAATGAGGAATAAATACATAGATGTCAATTTATAATAGTCATATACTAGTCTAACCATTTAGTCTTTTAGGCCAAATAAATCGTGCCTGTATTTATTACCCTAATTACGGTGTTAATACTTACCAGCTATGATGGAGGTTCTCAGAGTTCCTGGACCAAGAGTGTTAGCATCTCCTTGGAACTTGGTAGAAATCCCATTTCTTGGCTTATGCCAGAACTGCTTAATCAGAAAGGGGCTTGGGGAAAGGAGCAAAAGTCAGTGTATTTAACAAGCCTCCCAGGGATTTGAAGCTTTCTAGAATTTGCGAGACATTACTGAATGCAGTGTTTTCACTTACATTAGGTCCTTTGATCCTTACAGTAATCCTGTGACATACAGTAACTCTTTATCTGTGCTGCTCTGATTACAGTAACTCTTTATCTGTGCTCTGATAGAAATAAAAATTAAAGAGATTATATAATTTATTCTAAATCACACTGCTGTTAGCAGTATTCCAAAATATAATTTGAGGTCTTTTTCAAATGATATATCCTTCTTTCCTTTGAATACACCGTGAAACAATATTGGTTACTTAAGCATTCCAATTTTTTTAATGATTATTCTCTGAACTTTTATTCTTTCATTAATTTTTGACCAGGCTCTCATATGAAGAACACTTTCTTTAACAATTCAAATAACAGGACCAGAATTCAAATTTACATACTTTTTCCTAGTACAGGGCTGGTTCTATTATATGTTTTAAAACTAAATAGCTTTTGAAACTAAAAACAAGTATGTAAAATATTTTTAAATACATAACCTAATAAACCTCAAATAGAAGCACAAGCAGTTTTTAACTTCACCATCATTATTGATTGAATCTCACTATTCTAATCTTACTTCCATGACATATGCCAATTTAATTGCTACTCAGTAACCAAACGTATTTCTAAGATTAATTTGGAGTTAATGTCTGCCAAATGAAATGATGCTGTGTTCTCCATTAGTTATAATTTTCATCAAGTCTATTTAAATTAATTAACCAAATTAACAAACCATAAAATCAAGTATGTTTATAGACACCCAAAACCTTATAATGACTTCTACTGGGGCCTCTACAAAGAAAATTTTTAATAAGAAAAAGTTTATTTTACTGAGCAAGACATGATATATCCTTTAATAAAAGAAATTGCTTCTTTAAGTTGTAACTAATATTTCTCTCTTGGCTGCAATCAAAAATAATTTGCAAAATGAAAACTTGATAAGTCAGACTGAAATAATGAAGATTTAGGTCATATTTTATTTTCCCTTATGTTCTCCATATCTGTTATTTCAACAAGATTTACATAATGTGGCATTTGAATTATGGAGAATAGAAATCTGCTCGCATTATAAAACCCTGCCTACCCCATCTGGAAAATTATCTTGAGACTATATTGATTATATAAAATACCTTAAAATGTCCTTATATTTCATATGATTAGGTATAGAGAGGTTATTTGGAGGTTTCAATTAATATCTTTGTAGTGGTGGTTTTATTTATTTTACCTTTTAATTGTTCAACTTGAGAGAGAAAAATTAAATTGGTGGTAATTATCAACCAACTTCACATAATAGTAGTCATCTCAGTAGTTGTTAATTTGATTGTTTTACTTCACCCTTACATATTCTTATTTAGCTGGTTTTAGGGGACAACCCATAACCTATTTTAATAAGCACCAGTAGTGATTCTGATAAAGTAGTCTGTGGGTCTGAATCTCAGTGTAAGAACTCTCAGAAGAGAACGTACTTCTTCAAGCTAAAACCTAAAAATACCAAATTAAATATTCCTAATACTGCTGTAGCCTCCTGTAGGCAGCCTGCCCCCTGTTTTACAGCCAGTTAGAGCTGATTCATTCTTCCCATAACTGTAGCTTACCAATTGGGAGCCTGGAAACCTAGTTACCATTGCGTCGTTGGTGCCTGGTATGGGGTGCATGGTAGGTTCTGCATAAATATCCCGGGGTGGATCAATGAAGACACCCACTAGCTCCGCATTTAGAGTTCCCATGTTAACACCCCATCCTCTATTGGGTTCAGATGCCTACATATGTGTATAGTTTTATATTCCTTTGGAAATTTTACATGTTATTCATGGGGGACAACATGTCTATTTTCATATGTTTTAACATATTTTACACATACTTAACCGGTAAATATTTATTAAGTAAAAAAGATTTTGTGCTTATTTATCAGGGTGGATTCTCATTTCCTCCAGGGCAAGGACTTCATTTTCTTTCTCATGGCAGTTTTCTCAGGTCTTAGTAGTGACTGCATGCTCGGAAGTATAGAAATGAATAAATAAATTGACAAAATAATAAGTCACTTCATTTTAATGTAGATTTTCTTAAAGTTCAGTGTTAGTTTGGGTTAGGTTGGAGTTAGGTTTTGTGGGTGATAACATTTATTTTTATTTTTTTTCACTGCTACATTTTTTGTAAGTCATATATAGATAGGATCATGAATACATTTATGCCTGTGTGGGATTCAGTGTGTTGACTATTTGTACAAATTGGAGTGCTAAGAAAAAAATCTTGCCTTTAAAAGGAAACTGACATTTGAAATGTCCTTACCTTTTGGAAGGGACAGGATAGTAGAATTTGACAGATTCTGAACTGGTGAAGCTCCGAGAGGACATTATGGTTAATAGAATTTTCTATCTTACTTAGCACTAAATAGCTTTTGTCCATAATTATGAAAATATCACGATTTGAGATTATACAGCTGTTTCTTGACATCCTGTGAGGCAAAGATATTTCCCCATGAAAGCTAGAAAGTCTATCAAAATCAGATTTGCTTTCTTCAGTTGAAAAATAAAGGAAAACATGAAATTTTCCTATACTTGCAAAATATCTGTAATAAATTCTATTAGTGTATGCTTTTAAAATATGCTTATGACCATATTTCTTTTCAAAACACAGGGTTATCAGCCAATAAGTTAGAGCTCTGATAAAGGGTAAAATCTCAAGCTTTATGCCCTTGGTGACTATGATTAACTTATATTAAATTTCTTCAGATGATTTATTTGCAATGCTTTTTTTCCCCCTGCTAAACTATTTGTAAGTTTTTTCTTTGAGGAACTTTTGATCTTCGCCAAATTATCTGCTCCCCTTTATTTTGAATGTACCCTGGAGTTATTAGTTATTTAAGCATCATAGTTTCTTGAATGATTGTTTGAGATTTTACTCTACTATGAACTTTAATTAGCATCTTATATGCGAAAATTAATCTTTGGCAAGTTTATAAGCATAAGAGTACTGTGGGTTAAATACATGAGATACCTTATGTATCTGCAGACGCAGCTCCCGACACAGAGGGAGAGGAACCTCTGTGTCTGTCACCCTGTCTCCTTCCGGGTCACATTCCAGGCTTCCTTCCCTCCTTCACTTTGTTTATCTTTACCATGGTCCTTTTCTTTAGGTCAGCTTCTGTGAAACTGTAATTCCTTGACTAGAAACAACTGCTTGAATATCCTCCTTTAACGTGCAGCCTGGCAAATCACACCGAACCGCCAGTTGCTCCCTTATTTTATTTACTTCAGTTCTATTAACACTCTGCTTGATGACTGTCCCTGAAAGTATGTTTTCTCTCTCATTTCTCCTTAACAAAGCATCCAACACATGCTTTCTGCCTAATTCAGATTTCTGAAGTCACTTTATGAATAATTCCAAAGCAAGATCTATCACAACAAAAAATTCTAGGCATTTGTCTGGAAGCACTTCAACTTCACCAGTCCCCTAAACTTTTTTTTAATGATTGTTGTTAGTGATGATTTTGTCCAAGGAAAAGGGTTCTTTCTTTGTTATTTTCAGTTTCATTACATGTCTTTATCATACTGTAGTTTTCATTGAATGTAGTAATTTTCCAAGGAGAAATAAGGCTCCCATACATTTTTATTCTGTTGTTTGGGATTCATTGAGGGTACAAAGAATCAGTCTACACTGATTGCATTTGTTAGGTAAAGTCACCCTTGTAATTGTGTCCCGCTCCCTCCCATACATTTTTATACTCCATCTCTATACTAAATGATTGTGTAATGAATCATGCCTTGCAAAGAGAAACATACAAATTAAACTCCCAATTTTTATAGAAGCTATTAATATTAATTTTAATTCTAAGTTCTCCCAACTTATAACTTAGTTAGAAATAAAGCCATGTTATTGAATTTTATTTAACTTACCTTTTTTGTATGTATTCTTTATTCTAAAGTAGGCAGTGTTGGATAATTCATAAATTGGAGGTTTCATTTTGAAAAATTAATAGTTGCTTATTTATGTGGGATGATTTCCAGTCTAGTATTAAGTTATAATTTAATGAATTGGGATATTAAATAAACTTCTTTTCTTTATTTCAGGTGATGGTATTTGTACATGCTCGAAATGCCACTGTAAGAACAGCTATGTCTCTAATAGAGAGAGCAAAAAATTGTGGCCAGATATCCTGGTTTTTACCTACCCAAGGACCTGACTATGGACATGCAGAAAAACAGGTGGGAACACGCGCCAGCGCTAGGATAAGAATTAATGTACATGCTGTACTACTTATATCAGACATTTTATATATGAAATAGCTACAGGCTAAGTTTCTAAGGAGTTAAGTTTAGGTTTATTATGTTATAATCTTGACTTTTTTTCTTTTCTTATCTTTTAAAAGGTTCTAGTTCACAATGTATTCACTCATCATTTCTTTGCAGATGATTGTAATTGAAGTGCTTAGTTCTGCTCTTTAAAATATATTAAAACTAAAATATAAAATGCAGCTAAAGGGGCGGCGCCTGTGGCTCAAAGGAGTAGGGCGCCGGCCCCAAGCCATAGGTGGCAGGTTCAAACCCAGCCCTGGCCAAAAATTGCAAAAAAAAAAAAAAAATGCAGCTAAATTTCATATAATATGTTAACATCTAATGGGTTTATAATTTTTCCTTTTAAAAAGTAAGTTTTTTAAGTTCCTCAGTTTTAAAAGGTTAATACAGATAGATATAACTTAAGTAAACAAAGTTATTTTTTAGAATGTAAAGGAATCCAGAGACCAAAAAGTTTAAAAATAACTGCCTTACTACTCAATGTACATATGCCCAAAAGAGCAAAAGGCCTTGGGATCACCCACGTCCTTGTTAGGAGAGGAGAACTTCAGGCCCACCCCAGACTTACCAGATCACATCTGCTAAACCCCAGGTGACTTAATGCACATAACAGTTTTAAGCAGCTCTGCTCTAGGTAATTGCAGTATTAGTAATTCCTTTTTTTTTTTTTTCTTTTTTATTGTTTGGGATCCGTTGAAGGTACAAAGATTAGGTTACACTGATTACATTTCTTAGGTGTAAAATCCCTCTTACAACTGTGCCCTGCCCCCAAGAGGTGACCCCCCCTATCTCCCTTCCCTCTTGCCGTCCCTCCATCTCCTACCCCCCACCTTGTATTATATCATATTAGTATCTTAAGATTTATATTCCATTTAATTATATCAGATAATGATTCAGATCAGGTAGCCACCTGTTCTTTTTTTTTTTTTTTTCAAATGAAATCTCACTGTGTTTTTCCATCAGAAACAAAGCAAACAAGAAGATAGCCAAGCAACAGCTTTAACCTTTCCAGTCCATTTTTCTGCCACCCACATACTCCCCACCTCTTATTTATTGTGGGTGTGAAAAAAAGGTTGGTGGATTCCTTGTAATTATCCTATAGGTTTTTTTTTAATCTTTATTTTATTTATTTTTTTATTAAATCATAGCTGTGCACATTAATGCAATCATGGGGTACAATGTGCTGGTTTTATATACAATTTGAAATATTTTCATCAAACCGGTTAACATAGCCTTCATGGCATTTTCTTAGTTATTGTGTTGAGACATTTATATTCTACACCTAGTAAATTTCACATGTACCCTTGTAAGATGCACCGTAGGTGTGGTCCCACCGACTACTCTCCCTCTACCCAACCTCCTCCCTCCCTCTCCCCTTTCCCCATATTCTTGGGCTATAAATTGGTTTCATAGTAGGGCTGAGTACATTGGATACTTTTTCTTCCATTCTTGAGATACTTTGCTAAGAAGAATATGTTCCAGCTCCATCCATGTATATGTGAAGGAGGTAAAGTCTCCATCTTTCTTTAAGGCTGCATAATACTCCATGGTGTACATATACCACAGTTTATTAATCCATTCATAGGTCGATGGGCACTTGGGCTTCTTCCATGACTTAGCAATTACGAATTGGGCTGCAGTAAACATTCTGGTACAAATATCTTTGTTATAGTGTGATTTTTGGTCTTCTGGATATATACCTAGTAGAGGAATTATAGGATCGAATGGCAGGTCTATTTTTAGATCTCTAAGTGTTTTCCAAACATCTTTCCAAAAGGAATGTCTTAGTTTGCATTCCCACCAGCAGTGTAGAAGTGTTCCCTTTTCTCCACATCCACACCAACATCTCTGGTTTGGGCATTTTGTGATATGGGCTAATCTTACTGGAGTTAGATGATATCTCAAAGTAGTTTTGATTTGCATTTCTCTGATGATTAAGGATGATGAGCATTTTTTCATGTGTCTGTAGTCTGTGTGCCTGTCCTTTGCAGAACAGGTATGCTGACCCCTAATTTAAAACTATGAAAACACATTTTGAAAGAAAACATTTACTGGCATAAAATGAGAGTAACTTCAACATTTTTTTCGTAAGATTAAAGCTATGTTTGATTGTTTGACTGATTGTTTTATTGAACAGCTTCTAGCTGGCAGACATTGTGCATTTCACATTTATCATCCCAGTGAAATATATTTAATTGTCAGGATAGCCATGTAAGTTTCACCATTCTATACTGATATTTTAAATTCTGACTTTGGTAAGCTGAGGCCAGTGTTTTAAGCATCAGATTCTCTCTTAATTTAAAACTAATATTGATTCATTTTCTTTATTTATTTCACTTTATAAATTTTATAAATAAAATATATAAATTTTATTCTTCTAGCTATATGTTAATCATGAATTATGAGAGTCTTTGAAAAATTAAGTTCGTATTTATAGGTCTTGTTTTATTTCTTTGGAAGTGTAAAACAACTGTAGAGTGTTTAAATGCCAAGCCTTGAGAGCCACCTTGTGGACTTCTGGTTACTTAATACCTCTCAATGCTGAGAAAAACTGCTTTTTTGTTCAAAAAAAGCAATTTTTTTTTTTAAGTAGTAGAACTTTTAGAAAAAAATATAGAGCCTGCTGGGTGACAGTATATTAGAATATATTTCACATATCTGTGTTGATTTAATTGTCTGTTTATCTCCTGTTCCTTAATTGTTTAAAAATGGCTAAGTGGAACATTGGAGGTTTGTTTACAGAATTCCCATGCCATAGGCAAATTGCCTGGCCTAGATATTTGAAGGATTGATGTTGATGCCAAGTACAAAGTCTTCACAGAGTCTTCCTATAGTATCTGAAATTTTAACTTGGAAATGTCAATTGCTCAGGTTACAGGAGGTGAATGACAAAGCTGGGAGTAAAATTTATATCTTTCTCATGGATCGATTCCTACCTGTCCCCCCAAAAAACTCCTAGTACATGAACAATAAATATAAATATATGTAAATATATTTTAGAACCCTATGAAATTTAGGTTCTTTTGAAATTACTATTTCTCCAAATTTAATTTAAACCCTAATGTCAATTTTTAAACTGCCTCGCTAGTTAAACTACAATCTCTTATTAGGGAGATTCTTTTCTGCTTGTGGGTCTACTGTTTTTTGTTTTTTGTTTTTTGGGGGTTTTTTTGTTTTTTTTTTTTTGATTCTTGTTCTAAAATCTCAATCCTATATTTGGCCTCTCTTCTGAGAGACATAATTTTATGTATTAAATCTCTTTGGTTGCTATAATTAATCTCTATTATCTGTAAGTTAATATGATAAAGAGAATCAAGTTGTATAAATCAGAGATGTAGAACATATAAAAAAGAAAATATGGTTAGGGAATTTTTTTTTTTATTATTTTTGAGACAGAGTCTCATTTTGTTACCCTTGGTAGAGTGCCCTGGTATCATAGCTTACAACAGTCACAAACCCTTGGGCTCAAATGATCCTCTTGCATCAGCCTCCCAAGTAATTGGCACTACAGGCACCTGCCACAATGCCCAGCTATTTTTTTTTCTTTTAGAGATGGGGTCTGGCTTTTGCTCAGGCTGGTCTCAAACTTCTGAACTCAGGGGATTCACCTGCCTCAGCCTCCCAAAGCGCTAGGATTACAGGTGTAAGGAACCACACTCAGCCTTGATTAGGGAATTTAGATTAGGAGTGTTTAAATAATCAATTTGTAGACAGGACACTATTCTTTGATTGTTGTTTCTTTGAAACTTGCCTTAAAGCAAATATTGTTTAGTTCATAATTAAGAAATGCTGTTTTTCAACAGTTAGTATTGGGATTATTTTATCGGAAAAACTTTAAAAACATTTCAGAATTCTAAATGCAGGTAATGATTCAAAAGAAAGCACAAAGATGTAAAACCACAGAAGTTTTATATCTTTGTGCTGTTTTAAATAATACAAGTTTATTATTTAATTGTTATCATAATGTTTAACATTTATTGAGTATTTAACAGTGTTGGGCATTGTTTTTCTTGCTTTATATAAATCATTCAATTCTTATAACAACCTATAATTTAGGCTTATACCATTATTGTTCCTTGATATGGCATTTATGCAAATAATTCAAATATAGCATGAAATATGTCAAAGCATATAGAAGCATGAAATATGTCAAAGCATATAGAAATGATATATAGACTTTTCAAATAATATTTGTTTAAGGCAGTGTCACCAAAAACAAATTGGTAGATCACTATGCTAAAAAAGAAATAACATAGAAAAATGCAAAGTTTTAACATGCCTGAGTAGACTTGAAAATCTCGTCACTTTTATTATGCCTTTTTAAATTTAAATTATATTTGATTTTTATCCTGTTCCAACTGTTATTGGAGCTTTTTTTTTTTTTAACAAGAATGAATTACACACACATTTATTAAGTACATGTCTTCAAGGAACATTGTCCTATTCACCATTATATTCCCAGCCTTTCATATTGTATTTGTCTGATAGTGGACACCCCCAAATTACTTTCTTTTTTTTACTTTTTTTTTTTGAGACAGACACTTTAATTTTCTCATTTGATCTGATCCACTCTATTGTCCTGTAAAGATTCTTAGCCTTATTTTGTAGATAAGGAAACTGAAACTGAGACAGTAAATAATTTTCCCAGAGACTCCTGTATAATAAGTGGGAGAGCCATGATTTAAGCCAATCTGACTCCAAAATCTACCCTTTTCACTATTCTATCATCTATTTGTTTAAAAGCAGATGAGTCAAATCCCATCTGGGATTTTGTGAGTCTTTGTTGTTGTTGTTAATAAAATCCAAGAATAATTTTTCAACCTAATGATACTCCTCACTTCCCCTAAAAAGAGATTTTAAAATGTAGGCCACTCTACAGTACAAAAAATGAGGTAATATTTCTGAATATT